TCTACGTGGCATCAATTTGCAGTTGTTTTAACCCCCCCCCCCCAAAAAAAAGCCACAAATGTCAAAGTAACAAAAGAACATAGCTCTTTTAACTTTTATATTGGTTTTCCAGTTTCATATCATGTTAAGTCTCTCTTATTATTTTTACTTTGCCAAGATTTAATAGAAACTGAATATGATTAATGCGCATTACTCTTGTATTACCTCGTTTCCCAGACAACAATAATTCGTTATTGGTTAAAGAATTAGTTCTTTTGATTTCTTTTTTACGTTCTCTGAGTAGCAGCCGTGGTTTGCATTTCTTCAATATATTCATCTCGTCGGAACAAGTATCGCTTGATACCAGCGCGAAATTGCCTGTTAATTCCACTGTAAATTAGAGGATTTGCCAGAGAATTACAATAACGAAGGAACAATATGACATAGTTGATAGCGTCCATAGATTTGCCGCGACATGATGGGCAGTACGTGTAAACAAGAAAGAAAACAAACAGAGGGCACCAGCAGAAGAAGTGAGTACCCATTATCACAGTCAAAGTTTTTGCCCCTTTAAGCTCTCTCTTTATGCCACGTTTGGATCCCATTGAATCATTTGGCAAGGATTGTGATTGTATCCTTCGTGCGTGCATACGTGCCACAAGAAAAATATTCCAGTAAGCTACAGACATGACAGCTGCTGGGAACACAAAACTCGCCAAGCTGATAAATGTCACGTATTCTCGGCCGATAAACATACACCGCTCATCTTCTTCGTTTTCCGGTTTCTTCAAGAGAGACAGAAAAGCTGCACAGGACACAATGGACGAATACACCCAAATAAAGACCATGCAAAAAACAGCTTTCCTTTGAGTAACTATGGAGTGATAGTAAAGTGAGTACTTCACTGCCACATACCGCTCCAGGCTGATCATGACAAGGCATAGAATGGACGCTGTACCACAGGCGATGTCCAGGACAATCTGGCATCGGTATAAAATAACGTTATCAGTTGTCAACTGGGCTGCGGCAAACAACGGTATCAGTATGGCAGCAATGAGGATATCAGCTACTGCGAGGTTAACAACGAAGTAATGTCTTATAAGTCTAAGCTGTCTGTAGAGACAGAACACGACGCAGACCAGAGAATTGGCTGCGATTGACAGCACTGCCACCACAATAAGCGGCATCACTAAGGCTAAGCTTGCTTGTGGGCAGGTTCCAGATGGCGGAGGTTTCGTTGCAGGCAAGCAAAGATCAAGGAAATTCTTCCAGCAAGGGGTTTCGAAATCAGGCTCTGTGATGTTGTACTTCAGGTCATTTTCGATGCATTTGTTGGCAGCAACTTTGCATTGAGGGCTATACGATTCCATGATGTCTTTACTAAAAAAGAGAAGTTGGGAGTATCGTTCTTCAATAGATTCTGTGGGATAGACGCATGTGATAGAGTTCGATGTTTCCTCAGTGCCTGCTTCTAATCTTGTGAATCTGACAGCCTTTTATCGGGATTTTAAAACAGTTATCGCACGTTGAAGGAAAAGTAATTAGAATAATTCATGGCATTCTCAGTTTATTTGCCCAGCTGAAAGTTTGTAAGAAAAAAGGTTGGCAATACAACAAAATCGTTTACGGGAGCTGTCAGCTTTTAAAAAAGGAGTTGTCAAACGAATATCCGCATTTTGAGCACATAAGGGCAACCAAATAAGGAATATTAAACAGCTTTTTATTATTATAGTTTAATAAAAGGAACGTTTATCGTATATTTGTACTGATATTCACATAGATCCTAAGTTATGCTCGTTACCTCGGATCTGGATTCGAATACAACTTGATCGTATGGTTTAGTTTGGTATATCTTAATTTCCGACCTTACAAGGATAGCATGACTGATAAATCAATCGTTCAGTTTTCTACATAACCAACAGTTTATAAGTTGCCGTATTTTGGGCGCATGAAATTAAATGAAAACTGAATAGGAACTATCATGATGCTGACAAAAATCATCCTTTTCTTTCTTTTCTCTGGACACAAAAAGCATTTACCAACGGCTCTACCTACGCTTCAAACTATATTTTTGGAGGAAAGCAAACATGGCGGAAGCTTTGACCTAAATAGTAATTAAAACTCGCGTCTGAACTGAACAAAACCCAATTTTTGAACACACAGACGTCAGGAAAAATAGTTACCCCATTGTTATTTCACCGCCATTTAAGATTCACAATCAACACAGTAATAAGAAAAGGTCTTGTGAAAATAAACAGGAAGGGAGAAAGTAAAACTTGTCTATTTGGTATTTTTAAGCTGGGTTTTAAATAACATGTTGGTGCTTTCAGAAAAAGCTCGTTAACGCAAAAATATGGTAAATCTTGACTCATTATTTAAACAACAAAATCTGAAATCAGCAAGGTATCCGGTAGATTTCGTCAAGAGAGAAAACAACATGATCCATAATCTGATATCCGTTCTCGGTTTTAAATGTTGCACTATTAAAGTTTGGATGTTGCAGAAATAACTTGGCACATGCTCAGCAGCGCCTCAAAGACAAACGGCTTGAAATAATTGGCTAATACTTACAAGCCCCATCTGTTTCCCGGTTTCTTTGAAGTATCCCTTCAATGTTTGTCTATAAAGGTTCTTATTAATTACAGGAAAATTTTAATTGTGTACTGATTTCTTTCCATTTCCCCCCAACATTCTGGTTGACCAATAACTATCTAGCTGTTGATGGCTCGGGCGGCACTAATACGAATTGATGTTACTTAGTGATGGAATTCAGTTAACAATTTCTCGAAGAAAAAAACAACTAAGCTTTACAAAGTGATTTGGATTACTTTGCCGCAGAAAAAAGTTTTATTGAAACGAGTGAAATTCCTAAAATAACTAAGCTTTACAAAGTGATTTGGATTCCTTTGCCGCAGAAAAAAGTTTCATTAAAACGAGTGAAATTCCTAAAAAAACTAAGCTTTACAAAGTGATTTGGATCACTTTGTCGCACAAAAAAGTTTCATTAAAACGAATGAAATTCCTAGTAGGGATGATAATTTTAGAACGGTACAGATTATAAACTACTGCTCCTCCAAATGTCTTAAGGAAGGACCTGTTCATCGAAGGAAAACTAAAATGCGCTCAATTTTGTCACGACGTTCAAAACTCTACTCAAAAGAACAGCGTCCGCAGGGAGGTCTGTTCAAACGATCAGCCAACATTCTGATCAAGTTATGTCAGAAGCATATAACCCTAAATCGGGATTATGTTTCAGGTTATGTCTCATATGCAAGTCGCGTAATGTTACTTTCCTTAAATTTAGCAGTGACTGAATGTGATTGTTTTAATATCGTCAATTCGGGTTTATCATGAATACTATCAACTCATTGTCAAAGCGTTGGCCTAGTGTCTGGCCTCTCCTGATAATCAGGGAAGAGTAATCCGCCATGGAAAATTTGAGCTTAAGAGTTACCCCATGAATTTGAAAATAACTTCCTTCAGAGTAAACGACAAAATTCAACAACTTTAAGCCCAGATCAAACAAAAGGTTAATGGCAAGGCTATTAAGCTGTCGGTGACGGGATACAAACTGACTACACTGATTAGCATCTACTGATGGACAGTGAAGTTTGGCAGTTGTGTATCAATTGAGAGCAGATAAATGTAGATGGCGTAAATGGATTGTAATCTTCATCTTGCTGGGGGCATAAATGGTATAATTAAACTTTTGGGTCTGCATTTGTTGAAATGCGATTCCTTTAAATTTCAAAACTGAGGAGAGTTGGGTTTTAGTCCTTCAGGGTTTTAAGTCTCCAGCACAAAGGCAATGAATGCCAAATCGGACCAGAACTGACACTGAATTTGAGAAATCGTTATCAACTGTAGTTTAAACAAATTCTGTTAATGCCACTGCAGAGCCCGCGGAGTACGGATAATTACTGACTGAGGAGACATATGGACATTCCCAGGGACTGTCAATCCCTGGAGGCAAGCACCAAGAAGAGACTCTGGGAACGAAGTTAATAAAATGATGCACTATGCCTTCCTTGGACAAACATGGAGCACTGTGCGTCCCGATGAAAAGTGTGGCATCGCTACTAAAGCAAGCTTAAAGCCAACCAAAGAAGACTAATAAAAGAAATTAAAATTTCATTTCATTGAGATTTATCTCGACCAATCTCGAGAAGCCGCAAAGACTGCAATTAAAAACCACCTACCTAAATGACTTAAATTTAAATTCGTCTAAAAGCGACGATGTCCTAAATTTCCGCCCCCAAGAGATTCCATCTAGTCTTCTAGTTTTATTAACTAGTAATAACCAAAGCTCAGGTGGTGCTGTTCTGAACGAAGGTCAAAACGCTCTTGCTCCAACGCTGGTGATTTGCGCACGTTTCACGTGATAGAAGGTCAAAAGGCGCGTGATCAGATCACGAGTGATAGAAGGTAGAAAAGAACGTAATCAGATTCCATTCATTCTTAGTTGAAGTCCAAACGAATGCTGGTTTCATACGTGCCAAGCATGCGTAGTAGCGACCTGGAGATTAGGATCGCGGTCTCATATGGTCAACCAGGAAAAAAATAAAGCCGTAGACTCCCACGATGGGAGTGTACATGCAGGAAAAAAACAGTTTTAACGCTCGCTCGAAAATGTTTGCAAGATAAACCAACAAGTCGTGATTGACTTAGCCTGCGTGGTAGGCGCAAAAAGGAGAGGAGGAGGGTGAGGGTGCGGAGAGGGAGAAAATTCCCCTCCCTTTTTCCCTTCCTCTCAAAACCCCAGCTGCAGGTCATTGCTATGTTACTAACACGACACATGTCAAGAGGGCCACGTTATGCCGAGCAACCAAAAAGTTCCTTTTTATTTCAACAAATCCAAGTTTGTAGAATAACTTTAATATATGCGTTAGGCACAGCCTTACACACAATCAAAAGAGTTTGCACAATTTTCTACATAAAAATTTACAATATTTAAATTTTATAATAACCTAAAGCAAAAGTACAAAAATTATCTATACAAAGGAAGGAAAAAATTAAAATTTGCCTAAATACACATAAAATCTTTGACCAATACTTGAATTTAATTTTATTACTAAATAATGATTATCATAGAGACGGCAAGAACGACGTTTGAACTCATTATTTTTTAATTACAATTTTTTTCTGGTGTAGATTAAAAATAAAATAGACGTTCAAAATTTAAATAGATTTCACTAGCTGTGTCGGCCTGTTTAATGTTAAGATGTGAAAGGATGAACTGTAAAGGGACTGTAGGCGAAATATGTGCCCCTCACTAGTAAAACTGAGGACGATTTCTGGTGTCCATCACAACAAAAACACCAAGAACAACGAATTGCAAAAAAAGATCAAGATATTTGAAATTAGATTTATCATTATTGTTTTAGTCTAATTAACTAAAAACGCAAGAAAAAATATAAAACAAACCTTTAAATGGTTGCGCTAACATTATCACTGTCTTCGCTCTCCTAAAACGTTTTTATAGAAAGGGAAAGACTCGCCCTTAGCCATCATCATGCATCTTAACATACTTCTAATTATCTACGGTCAAATATTCTAAGGAACATATGGAGGGTTGGAAAGGCCATATTAATCTTCTCCGTCCCTAACTTTGTTGTTTTGTTGTTGCTGTTATTATCCTCAGTGTTGCCTTTTGACCAAACTCAGGTAAAAAACAGTTTCACAATGCCAAATAGCCTTGTCAGAGCCCTTTAATCTTCCAGTGCACTTACATTGCTCATGAACAGCCCAACCACCCAAACTTTATTGTTTTTATCTCACTACAACTTTACCACAATAATCCAAGGCTGTGTCATTTAGATTCACATCAAGACTGTGATGCATGGCGCGCCCTTTGGGTTTCGACGAAACGGGTGAAAGAAAAGTAGCGTGACCTAAAATAAGCTGACCCATGCATCATAATTCAATAATTTTAGTTCGGCACTTTCTTCTCAACTTCCTCTGTTCAGTGTTAGGTTCAGTGTGCAGGCTCGGTCGTTTGGCGCTCGATCGCGGTGAGCGTGATCGAACTTGCTGAGAAAATGAAGACAGCTTATTACGCAGTTCTGGTATGAGGGTGCGCCCACGCGCCTGCGCAGTGGCGAAGAGTTTTAAGCCTCGATTTCCAGGGAAACGAGCCCCGAATCGTCTCCTCTCTGGGCTTTTATCGTCTCTGTTTTCGCTTTCCATAGCAGTTGCCATTGTTCCCAGTTCGACGCTCGAATGACTGACTCTCATACTGGCAGTCGTACCGTGGAAGCTAATTCGATGAACTTCGTCGTTTTCTTTAAACCTGACACTCAGTTCATTAGAATTAAGATTACTGTTTTCTTGTGTTTGAAGTGAATCAATTTCACCGTTTTTACTGCCACGTTCAGAGGTGTCACTGTGTCCGTTTGAGTGTACTTCCTTTGACTCGCCATTTGTTATTTGATTAATGCTACTTCCTTTATCTCTACTATTCTGATATACGTCCTTCCCTCTTTCTTTTATGTCTTCCTCTCCCGCGTACACTTCTTGGTCGTTAGCACCTACAACGTCCTCTACACTCTCTACGGTGTCTTCCCCAACAACAAATCCACATTCCTTCGAAGTTTCTAGTTGATCAGAACAGCTTTCTTCCTGAAGTTCCTTCTTTCTCAGACCAATTTTGTCATTCTCAATTTTATCCTCCGAGAGAACATCTCCATTGACACAAGCTCCCTTTGCCAACTTCTGCCCATCATCCTTTCCCTGACCAGAGTTTTTGACCGATGGATCAAAATGTTCCATTTCATCAGTATCCCCAGAGTCATCATCTTCGACTTCACTACCTGAGCTACCAGAACAACTCTGCGGAGCACTGGAGCTAGCAATCTTGAACTGCTCTGAATCTTCCAAGACTCTCTTGACGAGACACGGGTCCGAGAAAGAAGTAGGAAGTCCGCCAGGCTTTGCACGTTTTATGGAGGCAAAAAATGAGTCATCCAGAGCGCGATCGGTAGCAGAATTGCTCTTTGGTCGAAGAGATGTACTTGACCAGCTACTGAGGCAGGACTTGGAAGAAATTTGAATCAAGCTAGGTGAAGGTTTGCTTTTCCTTCTGTAACGATATGAAACGAAAATTAATTTTTTAGCAAAGGAGAAGAGGGATGAGGAACAGGAGGAGGAGGAAAAGCCAACAAAATATCTTGACAAGACTCATGAACCGACCATTACCCACATCTACGAGTAAACTTTCCAAACTTTCCTCGACTGCTGTACACAAAAACATTCGCATGTGGTAAATAAGGTTACCTACCTCAAAACTTTTCCTGGAACTAAATTTATTCTTCTGGCGCATGTCTTGACCCAGGAAAGGACTAACTGGATTTCATACATTGATGTAACAAGTCTCGAACTCTACTCTACCAGGGGCTATTATCCGGGAGCCTGAGCTACAGCTTATTAAATATTCGGCTGATATACTAAAATTCTTTGTTCGTTCCAAAAAATTATCATATTGTTGACAAAGTGTTACGGGAAAACAATTAAACCAGTTTCCAAAACCCTTAGAGGGCGAGAAACCATGAACCTCTATCTGGCCGATTAGTGTTGTACTGCCAAATTTACTCTATTTTTAGACTTGTGCTGCGACACCTATAAGACCCTATTTTTGGAGAATTATGCGCTACTGATCTTTATCAAATCTTAGTATGTGGACTCAGGTCTGCAACGTGTGGAACTCTCAACCCTTCCACTTCCGATTGAGTGGGCGGAAAAAAACAAAACAAAAATATTACAAACAAATGGAACCAAGGAGAACTAGAACCAAAGAGGCTTTGTCTCAATGGTTGCCTCACTAGAGGACGTCATGTACAGATTCTATAATTGGAATTAAAATGAATTGAACATCTTGTAACAGTACAAAAAAAAATCTGAATCTGAAATGCCCCTACAACTGCTCTACGAGGAGAATCACCAAATTGAATTACCCCGCTCCAATTCAAATGGATTTTCTCTTTACCTGTCAAGTCGGCACTCGGTGACTTTTAAACCCAGGTCTAGCGATGCTCTGGCGGTGGCAAATGCATCCGCAATGCACAGCAAAACACCTAAAATGGAGAAAATACTATTGTCACTTCCAATAGAGTAAAAAAATGATAAAACGAAAAGCACTCACTGAATGAGCCAATCGGAAGTCGAAAGCTAGTTTATCTTCGTCATGATATGTCAACGAAATGGTGCGAGATTTTCTTATCTCATGTAGCAAGGCAAACAAACTCCTGACATAACTAAGAACAAATAGGAACACAAGAAATGATCCACTAGTATTGTCTGCAAGGGTTATGACAACTTAAGCAGATTGTACTGCAGTTTCAACAGGATATCCGGACATCTGACCAAAACATGGTCCTCGAGACCGCGTTTCACAGCAGCGAGAATCAATGCTTTATTTGAGGACGTGCTAAGCACGAATAAACACCTGCAGAGTAACTTACTTCTTGCATCTTCAGCTGTTCGATGCTGTATGGTTCGAAGGGTGTGGAAATAACCTGAGTTCCCCTGATGCCGCCGAAATATACGAGTAAAGAGGTACTTGGTTTTGAAACTTGCTTCATGTCCTAAATCAATAAACAGAGGTTAATAATGTATTGCAGTAATTGAAAGCAGAGGAAACGTAATGTCTGAAAGACGTGTTTTTTTCATGTGAGTGGTTTCACTCGTTTTCTAGAATCGGAACAAAAATATGGAATGAAATGCCTGTAACTTTCACAAATCTTTCGAATAATGCCTTTAGGAGGAAAACAAAACTAACTCTTTTTGACGTCATAGCTTCAGACGACCATTATATTGATCTCCCAGAGATCGTTCAAAAAGTGAAGTTGACTTTATTTTCCTCTTATTAACTGGTGGTTGTAATTACTGATATTGTTTAGTGTATCAGTAGTCTCTAGTCATTATGTCAGTTTTAGTAATTGTCACTATTAAAATCAATCTTAAAAACAAATAACATGTATGTATGTATGTTACAACGGCATGCAATGAAGCACTCACCAATCTCGACCTTCTCCAAGTCTTCAAGGGCGATGCGTTCATACTGAGTTATTCTCTCGGCCTCGTCATCATAGCTGCATATTAAAAAAAACAGTACATTAACGCAGTCGATAAAGTAAGGAGCTGGAAAATGGGAAAGAGGGAAAATGGGAACGATGGTCTATGCAAAATGAAGGAATCAAAGGCTAAAGACGTAAGTTAGCATCTGCAGTCCTGGCGGAAATACACTCTAGTACCTCCAAAACACCAATAAAAGATGACTGTAGTAGTGAATGAAATTTAATTATTGTTATTCTGAATTTAATCAACTTACACAGGCTTTTCAAACCTCAAAAGCATCAATACAAGGGGTTCTTGATATTTGGAAAAGTATTGTTATTTTTTTTCAATTTCCGTCTAAATTTTAAGTTTCACAAACAAACAAACAGGAAACATCATCCAGCTTACCTAGCCACATAGTAAGCTTGGAAAGTGAGCAGAAGAATCACATCCTGATCTTGATTCACCTCTCCATCCGTGCTACAAAGGAAAATGTATTATTGTCGGTACATCATACTAAAAAGGTGGTTATATGACTATTGAGTCTTTGAGTGGAATCTTAAAGTGCGACCAGTGACTTCTTATAATGCGATAATTTAAATGAAAACATAATATTGCCGAGCGGCTATCTTTCTGTGCATATTGGTCCGAATATTTTAATGAGTAGATCTAAACCTAGGAAACTCAAATGAAAGCTATTGAGACGTACACTCAAGTGAAGCAAACGTCACGTTGTGCACGTTAATTCTAACATTTGAGTCTCTCCAAGAATCTTTGGTCTGACCATTCCAATTACAGCTATTTGTAAGACTAAGCAAATGGTATCATGTCTTTTTCAGAAATTTTAAAAAAGGAAAATTGGGGATTTTGAATGTCAGTTTTTTAGTGAGTTTACGCAACAGGACGGCAGAAAGAAGAGGACGGCAAAACGTTTGTGTGTGACAAACGTGGCGGGGCTATTACTTGCGTGTTTTGTAGGAAATTCACTTAACATTGTTGTTTTAAGCTCTTCTACGAAAAGATCTGTTGAAAGGAATGTAAAGTTTGCCGGAAGGTTTTTTCAAACAGAATTATTGTCACGCTTGTCACACAAGGTTTGCCGTCGTCTTTCCTCTCCCGTCCTGTTGCGTAAGCTTCCCTGACGGGTGGGTGGGAGAGGGGTAGGGTAGATTGGTCTGAGGATCACTTGAATGATTAGTAGTGGTAACCTTAAACGTTCTACCTGTAAAATGGATCAACCAAAGCCCATCCATTAATGCATTCCTCCTCATCAGTAAGAAGCAGTTGTTTGCAGTGCTGTACCAGCTGAGCCACGCACTCCTCTCTTTCCATTGTCCATTGTTCCTCTTCAGGGCCGTTTCTCATGGCTGCCATCAGCGCTGCTATGTCCTCAGACACTGGGTTTCCAAGCATGACGTCTACAACAAAAAAGCAAACACACTGGTATTAAACACCAATTCAACTCAGCTTTTCCAGTAGTCACTACGCCCGACTACACTTAGTCCCGTTGTGGTCGTTTATGGACAGTCAAAAGAAACTCACCAATCAACGTTTGCCTGTAAGCAGCCTTGAATCTGTTTAGGTAATATCTACAACAAAAAAGAGAAATGCTTTATTGTTATCTGAGTCCACCTTCAATATAACGAATGCTACATTTTTTGCAGAGCCACAGAGAGAAAGCAACACTCTTAAAAACAATAAACAGAGTACATGTATTGCAGATAGTGAGTTACACAATTAGAAGCCACTGTGGAATATACATAATAACGCTTATTAGATGAATAAATAAATGACGAGAAGATCATTACTTATGCAGTTTCGAAAAGGAAGTCTGAATTATAAGCCAAGTGGGAGCTGGTCATTAAATTTATTGGGTCGTAATATACCCGGGAAGGAAGAAATATTATAATTTATAATATATAACATTTATACATTCATCATTAGAAAAAGATGAATATCCCAAAGTAAGAAAGCAAACCTGTTAGCGGAGTTGTAACCATCCTTCATCACACCTGTAAACCTTCTCTCTCCGGTTCTGGTGAAGTCTCCCTAGAAACCAGAAAACATTTATCATGTAAAACGAGATAGGGCGGTTACAACATTCATCGCCTAAGAAAAATCCGGGTCCTACATGGAGTGAAAGCAACGGGCAATTCAAGTGGCATATATTAGTGATAACTGGATCAGATATTAAACTGCCATGATGTAAATAGAACACAGAACCCTCTCTGATTGCAGAACTTTAGCTTGCGTAGCAAGCGTTTTCGTTTGGAAAAAACAGGATTTTCGGTTTTGGCCGCGCGAGAAATGGAACGAGAGCCAAAAAAAGAGGGGGGAGTGGGAGGGGAGCGTTTCCTTTCCTTTCTTCCCCACCCCCTCCCCGCTCTTTTACTAGCACCATTTTTCGCGAGGTCTTTTCTCGTTCCTCGTTGTTTACCCCGAAACCGCACGGAAACGCTTGCTACGCAGGCTAGTAAAACTGTTAAGTTTTACTCAGAGGGCTTCGCTTAAAAGGGCTGGATTGTACAAATCTGGGTGTAGATAACCCTGGGTTAGTACGAAATTGAAAATTCAGATTTGAAAGTTTAAAAGGCAAATTCACTGAATTTGTTTGGACGCTCTGAAAAGAATAGCGAAAATTTTCTGGTAACAAGATGCTTTTGAATAAAGAAAAAGAAACCCGGATTAATTTTGAGGTAATCAGCCTTCGGCCAACTGGGCCTAGTAGAATATCTGGACCTCGTGAGTGTGAGTTGGTGATAAACACGTATCAGTCATATGCTACTAAAGAAGACAATTAATTCTGTACCTTCATCGCTGCAGTACCAGCGTACTGTCGACTGATGGCATCCCCGTTACTGGCCCACATTTCCTGAAATGCCGTCCTGATAGATGTGGGGAGGATTTGATCTGGGAGCTGCTTGCCTAGTTTCTTTAGCTACGGATAGTTACAAAAACAATCATTCAGGTTCCCAGGTGTTTAAAAGCTTGACAGGGCTGCAAACCGGATAAATCACTTAACAAAAGGGGCGTTAGTTGTGCCCTTTCCGGATTATTTATTCACAGTATGGTTACCTGTTGCTCCATAATGTGTCGTGCTAAAGCTGCTTGCACAACATTTGTTCTATCCAAACAATCCATACAGTTAACACGGAACACGCCTCGCTGATCACAGATTATTCCCTTGGCATCCGTCCTTAAAGACAAAGAGGGATAAAGACAAGATGCAATACTCGGTATTACGCTAGTCGGTGTATTCAGACACCTGCTTTTTCGTTAAAGATAGTAAAGCGCGCGTACGAATTAAAAGAAAAAAGCGTACAGGACAGACTACACGGTGATAAACGGGAACTAGCATGCAGAGGAAGCCATTGCTAGGGAGTATCATCAAAACATTTACAAGAGCCTCTGCCAAACATTACGAAAATAATATGGAGAAGGTATGTGAGGTAAGTATACTAGATTGTTGTAAACAGCACGCAACTGTGGGGGCCTCGCAAACTTAACAAAATGTTCATACATGTACCTACTGGACTCCGGGACAGAGAAACTGTACTTTTGAATTTCATAATTACAGTTCAATAGTTTCCTATTTGCCAGAGGGTAAGATACATGTAGGGTGATCCTTTCCATGGAAAGATCTCTTTTTTCGCATTTGTCTCGACCGCATACTTTCAAGCTAGTTCTTATGCTTCCGGGTCGGTTTGTTCCAAGCAGGGTTAAGATAACACAGGGTTAGTTCGAAATTTGAATTCAGATATGAAAGCTTACAAATCAAATTAATTTTTTTTATTCTTTTTGTCTACGATTTGATGATTGCATTTTCTAAAAAGAATAGAGAAAATTACTCCGGGAAATAGCCTGTGTACAGACGTCCCCCCTCCCTAAGAAAAAATCGGGAGAAGAGACGTGATTTTTTCTGAGGGAGCGGGGACGCCTGTACACAGGCTACGGGAAAATGCTTTTGATCAAAGGAAAAAGAAACCTGGTTTAAAATTTTACCCTGGGTTAGCGCTGATCAGCCTTCGAACAACCGGGCCCCGATTATAAGAAACTCACCAGCAATATCTCACTTCCTTTAAAACTTCAAGGATGCTCTCCACCAGTACCGAAACATTTTCAAATTTCATGCCACGGCTGTAAGAAACAAAAACCAGTTAGTTCAAAGATTCTAACCTTATTTTACTTCCTTCAAAAGCTAAAGAGCCGCTTTGCAGCGACAAAGAGTTTCTAACGAGGGTTCACAATGTGGCTATTAACAAATGGATTTGGCCGCACCACAAAAAAAAAACAACAACAACAACAATAAAACGTTTGCCAAATACTCCGCTACGCGTCGTATTTTCAAATCTTTTTTCGATTTATGATACCTGATAATACACTGTACCTCGTGCTTGAAATCACAACGTCTAAAACCATTATCAGATGTGCCTTGACCTTGAAAAAAAAAACGCTCTGCTACTATATTAACTATTAAAAGACCGTCCTGTGTTTGATAAGTTACTTACCAGTACTCATGAAAATCAAACGTGATATAGGTAAGAAAAGGACTGTTATAGGCAAGGATATTGTCCATGAAAACATCACTTATGATCTAGGAAAAACAACAATAATTAATAATAATGAAAATAAAACAGGCTAAGAATGAAAGATTGTTGTGGTAATGGACGTGCAAATATAGTCCCAAAAGATTTGTTTTCTTTTGTCGCGCTAAAAAAGGTAGATAGTCTCAGAACTAACCATCAAATCACCAACGTCACCACACGGCTTGAAAGAGGTGAAATTTTAGAATTCAACTACGTTCATTTTTGTAATTTGATTTCACCCGAGGAAGCTTTTGTAAGTCATTATGATCGATTTTGAAGTTTGTGAACTTCAATATCGTAGTACAGACCTTTAGATTCTAAGACGAGGACGACTACGAGTACCAGATTTTCTCAATAGTAAGTAGTGCTCTCGCGTGAATCAGCGTCATTTCGCCGGGAAAACGCGATACGCGTCGTCATTCTACTCCGAGTTTTAGCGAGAATGTCGTAGTGGCGGGAACAAGTTATCAAATGTAAGAAATTTTACCATTTTGTGATCGGGAGAGGGTTTAACCTCCTTCAATAAAGAAAACAGTGCTAACTTTTCTGATGAAAAAAAGCGCAATGAAGCTTTTCTGAGTGTCTATTATTTGACAGTGTGAGAAAAAACTTCACATTAAATCTCGTACTCGTCGTCGTTCTCGTCCTCGATTCTAAAGGTCTCTATTAACTCGAATAAAAACCCAGGTGCTCACTAAAAACTCTGTAATATATGAGTAAAGCGGGAAAGAGGTTCCCACCAAAACAAGGTCAACCTCAGCCTCACGTTCTCTCAAACGCTAGGACACTAAGCCTTCAACTGTTAAATGCCCCTTTGGTTTAGTTTAGTTCCAACATTTCTTCCTATAAAGTTACTCTAAAAGCGGGAACCCATTTATTACCAGGATATACCAGTTACTATGGTGTTTAATCGCTGAATTAGTCGTCCACATGCAGTTTTACCTTTTCTCTGCCTGTTTGATCAACTAAGCTTATCACAGCCTGAGGAAAAAAAATTAGAATCAAGACCAATCCACAAACGCAAAAATTCATTCTGAATAGTATATGCAGCGAGGCGAACGTGTCAGGTAAACTACGATAATTCAAGTAAATAACAACCATTTAAACTACTAACCACAGTTTTATAAAGCTCCAGTTGGTCATCAAAGTGTTTCCTGAAAGCCATCTGAGTCTCGTTTTCATCTAAGTAGGATAAAAACATGTCCATGAATATAATACCTGTATAATTACAATTTCACACGGACAAATTTCAGTTCTAGATTACGTTGTAACAAAATACAATGAAGGTACATCAAGATTGTGTATTCGTTGCCAACGTCTTCTCGCTATGATTAATGCACCACTGAAGATTGTTGGACATTTTATCATGAAACTAAAGAAAAGAACCATTATGTTCTTTTGTAAATGCTGTTTTTAGTTCAAATTTACCCCTGTCCAATCTTGGAGGAGGCCGATATTTGTAACCAGGCTGACTCCAGTAAACAGGCACTGAACCTCTGACTTGTACAAATGACACATTGTGTGTTGAAGTACAAATGATCTGCAAATCAACACCAAAAATTGCTCGTACTTGACCTTAAGAGGATAAACAAATAACAGCATCAAAAGTAACGACTTGTTAAACCTGTTACGTAAAACCAACAAAAATTAAGACTGTTAATCTTCTCGGCTGATACCTCGAAATAATATACTTTCAGATGCTTGGCCCAAACAAATTCCCGTTATAACGAACTCTTATTATTACGTACTTACGGAAACTATTTTCGGCCCCGAACATCACAGTTTTATTGTAACTGTCGCTATAACATGTAGGCTGTGTGGAAGGCCAGGGAACGGTACGGGAAAATATTTGGCTCGAGGTCAGGATGTACGGACCCAGCGCAGCATTTTATCATATGACCGTAGTGTTTTTGAATTTTTGTGACGGAGTGAACCCGAATCGGTCAGTACGCTTTTCTAGCAGGACCGTAAACGTTTTTCCCGCCCTGTCACTTCACAAGTACGGCCCTCATCCGGGAATTTTTTTTCATATGGTTTTGCAACGAATATGAGAACTACCCTTATGCGAGACGCGCGCGCTACGCGATTCTTGTAGGGCGCTACCCGATTCCTGAAGCGCAAGACACGATTCTCTTAGCGGTATATGACGCATTGCCATTTAACACCATGGTCATTGAGCACCATTTAGTTTCATGGATCCGTTTTTTGTCTTTTTCAATTTTCCTTTCACTATTCAACAATTCGACTTATTCATTCAGCCTTACAACTTTTGGCCTTGCGGTTTCGAAGTTGTCGGTTAAAACGAGCGTTGACGGCTGATTTGTCATGTACGAAATGAGAAGTTCTCACACACACCTAAATCGTATTTAACAATAATTAATGAGGTCGTATTTCCTTGGTGAAGGTTATACAAAAAATTGAATACCGCCAAGCGTTGTAGTCTGATCTGAAGGTAAGTCAAAAGAAATTCGAATCACGTTTACGACAATTTCGAAAAACTGTCCATGCAAAATAACTCTTACAGCTGAAACCGGTATAATACTGCCTCTTTTTCTTTAAATGTAATATAGATTAAACGAAAAAAGGAAGTTGGTCACGCGATACAAATTGAGTTTGATGCCTGTAAATGTCACTAAAATCTAAATGTCTCTGTTGAATCTTCAGTGCAAATAATGTATCATTTGAAACAACCGCTAGAAGTTGTACTCTTTTTCGTCCACGTTACATTTTTACAAACCTGTTCTGTTTCCACATAATTTGCTACATCTCCATTTTCATCAACACCACGCCTTCTGTAACGAGTCCCTTGAGTAAAAATGGAAAGTGTTTAAGACTCCTCTTCAATTGGTTTGTAAGAAGACAAAAAGACGGATCAATTCAAAAGAAAGATCTACGAATCAAAAGAAATTTGTTTATTTTGCACAGTGTTCTTTCTTACCAGCCCGGTGTATGCTCCTCCTGGATATAAGAACCAAATCAAACTCTTCAGGGGGGAAAGGTACACTTCTCCTGTTCTCAGCTTCCTCTACATCCTCATCTTCAAATGTGTTTACACAATGTGCTATTTTACAATAGCCTTGAATAACGGGGATAACCCAACTGCAGGAATTCGGGTCCTACGTAAGTAAGAATTAATTGCCTCTGTTACGGATAGTCAGAGAGTTGACCACTCCAGAAAATACCATAACATACCATAATGCTCTCTGTTTGTCACCCCAAAATTTTGCATAAGCATTGTCTTCAGTTTCTCTTGGGAGTTAAAATGGCCTCAAGAGAAACTTTAGTTACGCCAAGCCTCTGTTTCAAAGCTAGGCTAAGTGACTGTAAAGCCTTCGATATGAAAATGATTTTGAATTCTCATGCAATGAAACTCATTTGCACATAAAGGTTTTGCACTTAGCCTAGTTTTGAAAGTGAGAGTTTTGGAACTCGAAAATGGCCTAACAATAGTCATTCAAAATATTTTCCGGTTCCTGATTGACTAAAATCCCCTGACCAGTTCGTCACAACCAGCTACCATTGACCAAATTTCATAACTAAAAGAACTGGAAAAAGGTTCCTGGTCGTCACGTTGCGTTATTCACTGTTCCTGCCTACACCAAGTCATTCCAGGATGGTCAACTTTCAGTCCAGTCGTAACTACCCAGCAGCCGTTTATTTTGCTGCTTTCAGTGGAATATTTGCCGTCTTCTCAACCCTTAAGTTAAATAATAAAAAACAAAAACCACACAAGTTAAGGCCTTTTCTGCTTTTCTGCCTGCTATTCTGTTTATCTTGCCTAAAATATTGAACAGTAAAAACTTTTGACTAGCCGTCCTTAGTTTTTTTTCAAAAGGTGTTCTTGGTGTCCAAATGTCCTGGTTAGCACAGGGGGTTTTGTTGGCCTTGGCTCCAACATGTCTTGGCCTCTACTCTACAAAGGAGGGTCTGTGAATTTTCTATGGTTTCTGTTATCCTGGTGAGGGATACTCAACAAAGTTTTAGATGGGGAGGCTCCACCCCAAGATCCAATCTCTGACCCTTGTATATACCATTTTTGATAAAAAAGGTACACTTTTTGAATGACGTTCATCGACAAATGGTACCCCTTTCACATATCTACTTTAGAACGTTGCTTCAAGTTTAACAGCTGTAAATGCGCTATCTTTAAACTATGAAAAAAACAACAAAACCAGGAAATTATCTCGACTATTCCACAGCCATTATCTTCTGTTAGCCCTCTTAGTCTTTTCACAAATGGAAATGATAGATTTCCCGCGTCGATTTTTATACTTCTTCTAGTGAAATCCATAGCCTTTCAGGGTACAAAGAAAATCATTTTTACAGCTTGCCATTCGGGCAAGCTGAAGCTAGCATTTACGAGCCCAGACGTCATTTCAACTAGCCCCAAAAGCTTTTGACGAGCAGAATTGATTTCACAGTTCTTCTGTTATTTGAATTCCTCGAAAAACATCACTTGCCCGTCGGGCAAGTTAAAAACAGAATTCACTAGCCCGATAGCAAAATCCACTAGCCCCGGGCTATCGGAGACTACTGTCTTTGCATGCTACCTTCATAATTATATCTGAGGCCTGAAAAAGGTACGTGTACCCCTTTTTAAGCAGAGCCTCCCCGTATGGGCCATTATAAGAGAGTACCCCACCCCCCCTTTCCGAGGGTTATCAGCCCCAGCCTAAACTGGAGGACCAGCATACCTTTCTCTTAAGATGGATTTCCACTGAAGCCAGTGTGCAAAGAAAATCGTGTCCAATAGTCCGGGGCTAGTGGATTTTGCAATCGGGCGAGTGATTTTTCTTAACTTGCGTGACGGGCAAGTGCTATTTTTTTGGGAAATTCAAATTACAGAAGGATTGTAATCAATCCTGCTGATCAAAAAGGGTTTTGGGGCTAGTTGAAATGACTTGTGGGCTAGTAGATGCTAATTACAGCTTGCCCGAATGGCAGGCTGTGAAACTGACTTTCTTGGCACCCTGTGAAGCCTAAATTTTATGTGCATATGGACATAAACTTTAACTGACTTTATGTGCGTAAATGAATTAGACAAATATTATTATGTATGGGAAGTGAAAGTCATGAGTAACAGTAAAATTTGAACCTTGACCAACCAACTTCTACATTTATTTGCTACCCTACATGTATGTTGGTTTTTTTTATTTATTTATGCATTTAAGCCAATTAAAGTTTACATCAATATGCACAGAACAGTGTAAATCCACAGACAAGTGTAGAGCAAACACTGAAAAGGTTTCCAATCAGAGTTTTCATGTGATGGTTTATTGCTTCACCACCACAACCCTAAATTAGGTCTAAAAAAAAAGTAAGGCAGGCAGGCAGGTCCCATTTCTTCACTCACACTACAAACCACACTTACCTGAAAAAGTTCACTAAAAAGACTCACCTCACTGGTCAACAGCTCCTTCACCATACACTCATTCCAGAAAAACCTCTTGTCGCACTGGGAAAAAAAATGTCAACTATTGTTAGTGATGACAATCTATAAACTGTTAAACTAAATATTCTGGAGTATAAAAAATTGGTAAAGATTCTAGAGTCTGATAAAAAAGTTCACTTGAGAAAATCTGGAAAGCAGATATTACAATAGTTTTATAATACTGTTAGGAAAGCTCTGACCACTAAGGGACAACATATCAAAAAGGGCAGGGTAAGGCTAGAAGAAAAAAGGAAATTAATTAGGAGAAGATACAGGAAAGGACACTCTATTCTATGACCAACTTCAAGGACCACTCTCTGAGAAAAATTGCTTGGGATATGTGTGTCTGACACATGTAAGTATAGGCACATTCTTATCAGCTTAAAGAGGAGAAGGATGACAATCAAATCACCAGTAAACTCAAGAATGTCAAATGTAAGATCTCTTGAAAACTAGAGAAGGATAGGCAAATTTTCCCTTTTAATTTTTAAATCTGCACTACAAAATTTGTATATATAAATTTATTCATAAATATTTTATTTTGCAACATTATACATATTTTTTGTTTCTATGTATTGCAGGTTTCATTAATGTTTGTTGTTGAGTTTTTCATTTTCAGTACGTAACAATAATTGAATCAAAACACATAAAAAATTTAATAACAAAAAATTCTCACCCTTTTCCAAAGTGGATCTTCTGCATTATATTTTCCACTAAACTGTCTTTGTAAGGTATTGGTGAGATCTCCAGTTGGTGAGTAGAAAAATGAGTCGGAGTCATTGAACATCTTCAGCAACTCCTTCATTAAAGCAACAGGATTATTTTACATCACTGTTATTAGTGACAAAATTATAACAGTTTGCGCAATATAATCATTACTGAAATTAGGCAAGTTTGCTAACCTCAACAAATCTCCTCTCCAATTTTTCTTTGTCTTTCAAGTCTTTGTCCTTGATGTTCTATAAAAATGCGACGTTGTAAGAATATAATTTTACAACAAAATTACATTTTTTCTAATAACACTGTATTTATACTGCATAGCTTACTTTTAACAACAATAATTCTTTAACATATTACGTGAAGGTAAGCAAGGCACCGTTTTTTAATTCTTTGGTTAAATTCAAAGATGAAAGTCTTCAAACTGAAAGCTAAGTACATGAACTTACTAGGCACAAAACAGTTTTGACAATTTCACTCAATGTCCAGGATTGAGAGCAGATGCAAAATTTACAAAATTAGACCTACAGACAACTGTTGTTGCAAATACCTTTTCTTTCAAGGTGGAAGCTGCAGTCTTTATTTTAGTCCATGTTTGTCCCAGTCCCCTCTGTTGATTGTCTATCCCTCCCAGGCCACCTCCTCTCTGGTGCTGTTCACAAAGCTAACCACAGAATAATAATAATAATAATAATTTTAATAATTATAATAATAATGATGATGATGATGATGATGATGATGACGATGATGATGATGATCATCATAATAACAAAATCAAAAGAATCCACAGAGCCACGAGAGTGACAGTTATTGAAAAACCATCGTGATTGGTGTACTTGGAACTATCTTGAAGAACGCAAAGGCCTGGTATGGGAGGTTGAGTCTGCCTGTCATTTTTGGAAGCACACAGTTGTCAGCCATCCTTGATACTGCTCATATCATACGAAAAGTGTTGTGTCTCTAAGCTGCAGGAAGCTGCTGAAACATGGCTGAGAATACCCCAGAAAATACCAGAGAAAAGCCACCATAATGATATCAAAACATTTGATTCACAAAGGTTTCAATGAACTTTAATCTCTTTTTAATTGGCTCTGACTTTTTCTTTGACCTTATAGCGCTAAAAACATTTTTTCCACAAGTTCAATACAACCAAAGCTGTTTAATTTGTGGTTATTGTTTTTAAATTACATACATGTAGTAAACAATGGAGATACCTATTAACTAGATTATTATTTCACCTCATACAACACCTAAGAACTTGAAACTGAATTGTATTCATTTTAAGGTGAAAAATAACTTTAACCTCCTTTTATTTTATGGGTTAATGTCCATAAATGTAATGCAACCGACACGAGGTGAGAATACACCCAGGAGAGGAGACTTTTCCAATGACTCCTTTGATATACCGCAGTAGATCCTTGGTACATAAGTTTTACACAGTTCTAAAATAACTTTTCCACTTTGATGCAAAACTTGATCATCATCATTGGTGTCACTCAATACCCATGCATGCTAGAAGTTGGACTAGGCCGTGGTATGAATACTATTATTACAGGGGAAGCTCTTGTTACGGACTCTCTCAAAAGCAGACAGCTCTACTTACGACCACCTTCACAAAACCCCGTTTTTCTAAACTCCCATACAAACTCTGTATTCTTACATTCTCATAAGCTGACACCTTCTGCTTCCACTTTATAAGCCCAACATCACAGAAATTACATAACTAGCCTCAATAACTCATAGTCAATTGGAGTTACTAGCGTTACGTTCATAGAAATGTGGATGTGTGCGCCAATCAAGCATCTTCAGTGCCATAGAAGAAATGAATGTCTTCCTCATCTCTAAGGATGTTTGTTTCCCACTTAAGACATATTTTAGTCATTTCTTTCAAGAAAAAAGTCTAGTGTTCTATTTATGGAAAATAAAAAAAAGGTAATAACACCACATTCAGGTGATATATACCAACTTACATCAAGTTCAAATTCTGGTGATTCATTAGATGATAGCGTCAATACTGCGACTCGGTCAATCCTGTAAACTTCATGCCCACCAGGCAAACAGCCAAGAAGGGTCCTCTTTGATATCACTAACAATCGTGAGTCTGCACCTGAAGGTTAAGAAAACTCATGAAAAAAAATCATAATCAATTTTGTAAAATGGCACCAAGCTAAAGTACCACTAGTTATTCCACATTTTATTTAAATGGCAAGGTCCCACCATTTTGACAGCAGAAATTAAAATTTAATTTCATGTATGGCTCATTCAATTCCAAGTGCCTCCATCCCTTCCCCTGCCAAAATGTTTCCTCTCCCCCATGTAAGGGCCAGCAAATTTACATTTAACTCTGACATGGAGCTTAAAAAAGGCACCAAAATATAACTTGTTTTTCTCCATTCATTCTATACTTTCATCTTTAAAAGCCTTAGAATAGGCCATTTCTAAGTTGCCTCAAGCCTCAGTGTTTTAAATGAGGATGGGTGAGAAGCCTTTGATATAAAAATGATTTTTAATTCTTACGCAGATAAAACTCACTATTTTCACTTGAAGGGTTTTGTGCTTGACTTCACTTTGAATGTGAGGGAATTTGAGAATTACCAGGATTAGTGACTGGTCAGTGTAAAATGCAGACTGCAGACTATTGTTTTCACCATGCCAATGAGAATGTGACAACAATAGTCCCATTGTATTCTAACCCTAAAAACAATAGTCCACAGTCAGTCCGCAGTCTGTATTTTACACCGCCCCAATTAGAAACTTGGAAACGGTCTATTATTTTAGAGTACTGAGCTATTAGTCTTTTAGCCTGGGACCATGTTCTGCATTGGGTGAAATGGAGAAAAATACTGGTGAGGGCAAACAAAATCTGCCAGTGAAGCAAGCTGAGAGTCTGGGGAGTGGAAAGGGTGGCAGAATCTGGAGACATGCCTTTGATGCCACCGTTCCATGATACCAGATTCTGGTATCATGCTCTGATGTCTTCATGTTGACAGCAGTATCGCGCTCTTTTAATATCTTGCTTTTACAATATTATTTGGGAAAATACTTTTAAAACACGATTTCTAGCAAGCAATAAAAACTTCCTAGCGGGACTTTTCGCTGATACCATCGGCTCCAAGTAGAGCAAAAAATATGCCTAAGATCTGTTGCAAAAAGAATAAGAAGCATTAAAAAAATCAAGCTTTTCTTATACTCTCCTGTGATTAACCATGATCACATTTACAAAGCGATTGACTCACACAAACCAAAGTTCAAAAGGCACAGCATTATAATCATGCTCCTACCGAAAGCGTCATAAAACCCAGAAATCAGTGGACATATGCAACGAATACATGCTGCATACAGCTAAGCCTTGAGCTCCGAGAACGTGTAAACCACAACTGTGTGGAGTGAGCAGTTATTTCTCTCCTGCATGGCTTTAGCTAGCGTCTACGAAGTCATTCGCATTGCTTTGTCAGTCCAGTTAGCAAACCAAATACGCAAATGACAAATGATGCAAACAACTTCGTAAACGCTGAAAGCTATGCATGCAAGAGACAAACCTTTGCTCGCAGGCTGACAAAAATAACAGTGGTTGAGGAAAATCAGAGAAAATGATTATTACTGACTTGTACATGATTTTCAGCAGACATGCATTATAAAATGGACAACAAATTCAACAGGAATACACTACACTCAAACTGAATCGTCTGTCGCATAAGGTGCTAAACAGACACATTTTTCCCTCACGGAATATAAACTCTACCAATAGCAATATTTCGTTTGGTACATTGTAAGAAGCTATGTCAACGAGCATAATGATGTGAACTGCGAACTTGCTGGATCTCCTGAGGAACCAGTTTGGTTGTTCACCGCTTGAATCCGGTGCACTTTCCTCTGAAACATCTTTATTTCTCTTCGCCAAAGCTGGTGTTTCTCCAGTTGGCGATCAAAGTCAAGTAGATCTCTTTACTTGCACTCTTACTTCATGCTGAATTCAAATATTTTTTTACAGAAGCAACATAATAAACTCACGCTGACATCTGTGATGAGAATTTGATGTGTTGACACGATAATTGCTGGAGGGAGGATCGGTGGCATCAAAGGCATGTCTCCAAGCTCTGCCACCCTTCCCCCCTCCCCAATCCACTACTCGGCTCCCTTCACTCGCTGATATTTTTCCTATTTGACCCCATTTTTTCCCTTTTTCCTTCACGGCAGATAGTCATAGTGCTTACCATATACAGAAAAACCAACAATGAACTACACACAAGTTAAACACACTAAATGTGAAAAAAAAAACATAAGAAAGAGAAAAGACATGATATACATGTAAGTAGAGATGATAGTGTTCTGCACTGTGCCGATTGTGATCAACAAATATAATACTCCCACTATCATTGTTATTTAAATGTGTAACAATGAAATGACAGAATCTTTGGTTTGAAGAACCAATACACTTGTAGATAGATAGAAACTTTATTGTGTGCCAGTCTCTGTTTTTTGTGATTTGTAATTCTAAAGTTATTTGCATACATATATTTTTAGTTTTCTTACTGTTTAATTAATTCTTATTTTTAATGCATGGTCCCAACAGCACTGCTGATTTCTCTTATCATGCTGAAATAAAGTTAACTCATATGCCATATCTTTTGCTTTTTAACAGCAGTAGAAAATGTGAAACTCAACTATGGCATTCACATCCCACCCATGACAGACGTTTGAAGACAAACGCCCTACCCTGCCCTGAGAACTCACAACCTAACAAATTTATTTGATTTGTAACCGAGGTCAAGGTATTATTTTAGTATCAGCGCAAAAAAGGTTAGGTTACAAGCACGTGGACAAACATAAAACATAAAGTTCTTAACTAAAGCCAAAACGATGTTCTCCTTCCTTTCACACAAATTGTCACAGCAATATATAAAGTTTCAGACCTCAAATCATACTCTCTCCAACGAAGGTCGTTAATTGGAGAGACTGTACGATGTGTACTTGAACATGCTTAAGTAAAATGCGCATTGCTACAGAAAGTTTTCAAATTTCAGTGAAAATATGCCGATTTGCATTAACAAAAGCTTAATAAAAATTAATGGCACCAAACGCCGGGAAAATATTTTAAACACACAGCGACTGAAAAAATAAATTATAGCCTCCCGCGCCAGGGTACTACAATTATTCGAAAAAATGCTTGCAAGAAAACAATAGAAACTGAAAAAATGTGAACAGCATACAGCAGAAGCCTGCAAATCACCAGCTTTTGTCGTGAACGAGATGTAAATTGCATCTCGATTATTAGTAAATAAACACCGCAAGCACCATTCATAAGCCCGTCTTCGCCCGTCGATCGTACCGAATAATTTCCTGTGTGAAAAATAAATTAAGGCGCGTTCACGACACTATTATTGTGTTTTTCATCTAATTCTCTACGATCTAGTATAGAACTGAAAGCTTAGCTATAATTTGAAAAAGTAAAAAAAAAAACGCAGAAGCTTAATTCGCCATCAAAACATTGTCAAAAAATATCTGAATCGTTTGAAATTTTAAGTAAGCTCCGATTAAGCTTATAAATTTCTTATATAAACTGGGTTTACTTTAGATTTTAAAAAATAAATAGCACGATTTTAGAATTTCTGAATATTGCAGCAAGAGAAGAGTTAAAAATAGCTGTAAGAAAGTTACGAACGGTGGATATTTTCTAGCGAAAACCCTAAACTAATGCATCACTGATCACCGACTGTCTACCTGGAAAAAACTGGATTTTTCCAATGATCCCGTAAACAATTCCACGACATTTCAAGGACCATGCTTCGCCAAGGTCAACCCCTATAACAGAAGAAGGATAAAATTTCTTCATTAGAAAGAAAACACCACAACAAGCACAGGAAAGGCTTCGGTTGTTCGCCATCAGCTCACCATAGCGTGGTTGCATTCGTCCATCTTGCCGATTACACCACAAACTATTCGGCCCATTCAGAATTATGAAGTTATCTTGGGCCTGAAAAAGTTCCATTTCTTAACCGGGAACAGGGAAACAACGATGATCGTAGTATGCACACATTAGTCACCCGGTGTTTTGCATCACTTCTTCCGCCATATTGTGTTAGGTTGCCCGCTCTGCTACCCACAATTCCAGGGGGACCTTTCTAGATTACCCGCGAGCTCTCGCTCCCGCGCACGTTCCCGCACTCGTTTCATGCCATTGGACATGCCATTCTCGTTTTCGGCCAGAGCTTTGATACTTTTGTCAGAGGTGGGACAGCCAATTTCATACCATGGTGATATCTATTGATTTTAGATACTTCGAAAAAATATTTTTAATATCCGAGTTGCATGCAGTATTCGGTTCTAACACAAGTATTTCCGTGGGATGCCTGTGGCACTCCCACGGTAAAAATCCCAATCAGATTGTACAAAATCTGTATCGATTTTTAATCGATTTGCTTCCTCTGAAGAAAGTCGAAATCAGAACGTTCCTTGCCAAATTTGTCGCCCTTGAGTTTTCCCACTCGTGGTTTAGGATGGCTTGTTAACCAGCGAAATCCTTCGAGATACTAGCAAGTCACGAAAGGCGACCTAAGCCAAATTATTTCTTCCCTTCATGATTCTTTTTTGTTTAGGTCTAGCCAGGGGTCTAGCTTTTTCATAAGGTTTTAGTAGCGTCTGGTCGCGGGCTATGATTTCCGATAGATTTTACTAGTCGGAGTTCGCCAGTTTTTCCCGAGCACAGCTAGAGTTCAGTTTTTTTCTTTTTTTTTCATCGAAAACACCTTGAAGATGGGAGGTTAAATCGCGTAAATTTCAACTCGTACCCTTGACGATTGACGGTGAAATCGCGAAAATATTGTCCTCGTCGATCGACGACTCCCTGTTGGTATGGATTGGGCTTCTGGGTGGGACACAGATCAGGACCTTAGTAAACTTATTATACCTTGGGATCAGGGATAATCATTGGAACTATGTTAACTTTGAGACCTTGGAAACACATTGCAATTAATTTTTAACCGTATCAAGAGCATCTTGGAATATTAAACTTTCATCTTGGATTAAAACATTGGAACTTTATCGAACTTTGTAACCCTGGGTTCGACCCTGGATAAAGCAAGCGGATGTTTTGTTTTGTTTTGTTCCATTAACCTAAACCTGCAATGTTAATTTTTCTTTGAAAACGTTACCTGTGGCCACTTACTACCAAGATATGACCTATCTTTATACATATAGTTCCTGTTCAGGTTAATCAGAGAGCATTATGTGCATGTTCTCCATTACTTGCTTCCGTTAACATTCCAATTTAAGTTACACGGCTAAACCTTGTTTTAATGCAAAATAACTTCTTTTTCAGGGGCACCCAACGAGGATATAGTTCAAAACCACTTAACATAGCATTGATGAACGTATTTTATTATTTAATCGGTAGATGTAGGCATATTTTTATCCCCTAAAAACTTTTCATCTGTTCTCATTTCCTAGCTGAAAGTCAAGTGATTCGAAAATTATAGGGATAAAAACTTAGCTTCTCGAAAATTCTAGGTGGCCTTTTTTAGGGTCAAAATCCGTTAAAAATGGGCAATTATACCATTTTGTAGATGTTCGAAAATCCTAGGAGAGGCAAGCAAGCAAGAAATTCTACAACAAATGTCCCGAAAATTCTAGATCTCAATTCGTCTTCCGAACAGATATTTTCCGAAAATTGCCGCTGGGTGCCCCTGCTTTTTCTTATCCAAATCGTGCTACGAAAATAACTACATAGCGATAGATCAAAACAAGATCAACTCCATTGCGACCACTGAGAACTATAAATTTAGCTTGCGTAGCAGGTGTCTAAAGGGGTAGGGGATAGGGAGAAAGCAAAAAGGGGATGTGGATTGGGAGAAACAGTAGCCTGCCACGCAGGCTACTATAAATTCAGTCATAAGCGCATTAAACCAACCCATACAGGTAACCTACTCATCGATGCTCATAACATGACACATCTTTCCGGTTTCTCTAATTTTTCCAAACTCAGATAGAACGCCATTATGCTTCCATGGACCAACGCATCCCACGGAAACGACTTTAGGCGTCTTGTTACTATAAAGTTTTAGTTAGTCTTGGTTCTTTTTAGAGACTAGTAATCTTTTGTGTTCTCGTCAAATAGATAATAGGGACTTTAAGATCCAACGACGCGGACGGCAATGAGAACGTCAAAAAAACCAATAGGTTTAATAAGCAAAACAGCAACTTTGCACGTGCATCACACTTTTTTGAACATTTGTTTCCCGTTTTTGCACGATTACGACGTGAAAATGCCTCAGAATTCGCGTTTTATGGAGGACGTAAACAAGCAACGACGAAATTGTATTTCTCTTTCTGAGCTTGAATATGATCACTTGAAATTCCCCTTCAGGAGCTATATTTGACAAAGTAAGTGGGTAGGAAAAATCACTATAACGACTGTAATAACTCAAATTCACTTTTTAAGCAACGTTCTAGTTGCTGTCGCGTCGTTGGATTTTAAAGTCCCTAATAGAGCTCAGGGGTCTCTGTGATTTGGTTTTTATGTTTTTTCGTAACTGCAAAATAACAAAACTAAATGACAAAACCCAAATT